AATTCCATTTACAATATCATTAAAAAGAACAAAATATTCAGGAATAAATTTAACCAAGGAGGCACAAGTACTAGCTAAAAACTACAAAACATTGCTGAAAGAAAACAAGGGAGACCTAAACAAATGGAAAGAGATCCTGTGTTTATGGACTGGAGACTTAACATTGTTAAAATGACAATAATAACCAAAGCAATCTACAGATTCAATGTAATCCCTATCAAAATCCCAACAGTGATGAAGTTTTAAAACTAGAGAGAGGTGATTGGTGGTTATATAGTGACTGCACCAAATACTTATTTGTACACTTTAAAATGGTTAATCATGCTTTGTCTAGGCAATATCCAGCCTGCTTGTCGTTCTATTTTACCCCCCCACATTTTATTTTAAAAGTTTTCAAGCATAAAGGTGAAATAATTTTACAGTGAACACCCATATATTAATCACCTAGGTTCTACCATTAACAGTCCCTCCTCCCCACAGGGCTCTGCTTGATACTACCACTAACATTTTACTACACCTGCTTTATCAAGTAACTGTCCATCTCTCTACCAGTCCATTTTATTTTTTTATGCATTTCAAAAATATTGCTGATATTAGTACACTTCACCCCTAAACATCTCAGCATACATATCGTTAACTAGAGCTCAACATTTCTTTTGCATATTTTTATTTTGAGTTAAAAGTACACAAAACAAAGTGCACAAATTTTAAGTGTTTATTTGCTGAGAGTTGGCAAATACATACACCTATGTAACCCAAAAATATAGAACACTACCATCATCCCTAGAAAGTTCCCTCATGCCCCTTCCTAGTTAATTCCTATCCCCACCTCACCAGAGAAAACTACTATACTGTTCTAATTCGTTTTCTGTGTTATAAAACTTCATATAATTAGGATCATACAGTGTGTATTCATTTGTCTAAGGCTTCTTTCACTCAGCGTACTGTCTTTGAGACCTGCTTCTCTTTTAGATCTTCAATTCTTGAATTCAGAGATGGGCGTACTCCCACACACAGTAGAGTACTTGACAAAGCTCAGAAATAGCTCAACACTGTTACCTGTATTAGTTTCCTATTGCTACTGTAAGAGATTACCACAGGGCTGGCCTGTGGCTCACTTGGGAGAGTGCTGATGACACCAAGACCACGGGTTCAAATCCCTATATACAGATGGCCAGTTGGCTCACTTGGGAGAGCGTGGTGCTGACAACACCAAGTCAGGGGTTAAGATCCCCTTACCCGTCATCTTTAAAAAAAAGAAAGAAATTACTTGGTGGCTTAAAATAACACAGATTTATTATTTTTACAGTTCTGTATGTCAGAAGTTGGGAAATAGGTCTTTTTTGGGGGGGGAGGGGGGCTGGGATCAGAACCTGTGACCTTGGGGTTATAAGGCTGTGTTCTAACCAACTGAGCTAACCAGCCAGCCCTAAAGATAGGTTTTATGGGACTAAAATCAAGGTGTTGGCAGAACTGCATTTCTTCTCTAGAGGATCCAGGAGAAAATTGTTCCTTGCCTCTTCCATCTTCTAGAGGCTGCCTGCATTCCTAGGCTTGTGGCCCCTTTCCAGCAACTGCAGCACTCCCGCCTCTGTTTTTGTTATCACATCTCCTTCTCTGACTTTGACCCTCCTGCCTCCATTTTATAAGAACCATTGTGATGTCAGACCCACTGGGATAATCCAGGATACTCTTTGCATCTCAAGATTCTTAGCTTTATCACATCTGCAAAGTCCCATTTGCCAATGTATGATAACATATTCACAGGTTTTGGGGATTAGGACATGACATCTTTGGGGTCTGTTATTCTGTTTACCAGGTAATCCAAATAATTAAAAGACCTTAAGACCATGTTTCTTAAAACAGGGTAACCAGAAGGTAGAAAATAAATACTGTATATCTTCAGGATATATCAATTTTTCTTGTGGGTTTAGGAGAAAAATTAAAGAATTTAAATTGATAAATCGTTGAAAACACTAGTCTTCCCTTTGAATCAGCAATTTCTATAGACATGCTCATATATATACCCAATAAAGTTTTTCTAAGGATATGATTGCAGCAGTTTATCACAGTAAGACCAGAAACAAACTAATTAAACTATCCAAACAGGTAATTAAGAAAACAGAGAATGGGTTAAACAAACTGCTTCATCCATACAATGGAACACTATGCAACATTTTTTTTTTTTTTAGAAAAAAAGCAGGTCTACATATGCTGAAGTTGAACAATCTGCAAGATATAGGTGAAAAAAAAAAGAAATGTAAACAGTGTGTTAAGGTACTTGTGGAAAAAAAACACAAAAGACATATATGCTTTTATACACCTAATATATGTCAGGAAAGACACAAGAAACTGGTAGCAGAGGTTGTCTCTGGGGAAGGGAAGGAGAAAGGAGACTTTTTATTTATTTATTTATTTATTTATTTATTTATTTTTTATAAAGATGACCGGTAAGGGGATCTTAACCCTTGCCTTGGTGTTGTCAGCACCACGCTCACCCAGTGAGCGAACCGGCCATCCCTATGCGGGATCTGAACCCGGGGCCTTGGTGTTATCAGCACCGCACTCTACCGAGTGAGCCACGGGCCGGCCCGAAAGGAGACTTTTTTAATTGAAGGGTAATATATATATAAGGATAATTCACATATCATAGGTGAACAACTCATCAATTCTCACAAACTGAACATATCTGAGTAACCAGCACTTAGATCATGAAACAGAATATTATCAGCACTCTAGAAGGAAAAAGCTTAACCCACTATCCTGAAATTATTTTTTGGCAGCTAGCTGGTATGGGGATCTGAACCCTTGACCTTGGTGTTATAACACCACACTCTAACCAAACAGCCAGCCCATAGTCTGTTTTTTTTTTTTTTTTTTTTTTGGCAGCTAGCCAGTACATGTTTTATATTTTACATAAATGGAATGATACATTACATACTATTTTGGGGCTGGCTTCTTTTGCTTTAAGATATATCCATATCATGCACGTAGTTATAGGTCATTTATTCTCATTTCTGAATAGTATTCCATTTAATGGATATCCCACATCTTATTTATCCATCCTACTGCTGTGGATAGTTTCTAGTTTTTGGCTATTCTAACTAGTGTTGCTGAGAACGTGTGAGTACATGGCTTGGAGTAAACATATGTATGCGTTCTGTTGAGTATACACCTAGGAGTGGAACTGCTGGGTCAGAGGGTGTACTTAGATTCAGCTTTAGTAGATATTGCCAGTTTTCCAAAGTGGTTGTACCAACTTACACTCCACCAATAGTGTCAGAGAGTCCAACATTTGAGAAACTTACATTTGACTATATATTCTTTTGAACTGTATTATATTATAAAACAGAATGCAAATGCACATGAATTATTATTTTTTTTGAAAAGATGACTGGTAAGGGGATCTTAACCCTTGATTTGGTGTTGTCAGCACCACCAAGTGAGCAAACCGGCCATCCCTATATAGGGATCTGAACCAGTGACCTTGGTGTTATCAGCACCACACTCTCCCAAGTGAGCCATGGGACAGCCTTAAAGCTACATCTTCAAAAGCGGCTTCACGTGGGATGAGAGCTTTGTGTAACACATCTAGAACTTTCCTCCTCTGCTCCTATGAACAGGTGGCTGGAAAGGTTTGATAAACAGTCTTAAGAGATGATCTGATTATTTTCCCAGTTTTATTACCCATTTTTCAGCTGTAATGTGAACGCAGGTTTTCTAATTGAGACAGGAGACAGATGGTAATAATTATTACAGGAATAACTATAAACTCATATTTGTTAAGTGCATACTTTATACAGGGCCATGTAGAAGCCTAAGCACTGAACCTGGGGGCCGGCTCTGCCCCGCATCTCTAAACGGGAAGAAGTCTGTCCCCTCGGAGCAGGGGCCAAGCCAAGTGCCGGGTGGGAGCCCGTTCCCGCGGCCGCCGGCGCTGGACCCCTGGCTCGGTCACCGCCACCAGCAGCCTCCGTCTTCGCTCTTCGCTTTCACTCAGCTCGAAGCCCTGGGCACCCGGACGCGCCTGCAAGAAGTGTCATCTAAGGAACACAAGAGAGCAGCGTCAACCGGGCAGAACCTCCCTCCTAGGTTGCTGTCCGGGAAAAGCGAGCCAGGAGAAACCTCGCCGGCCCTTCAGCTCCGGCCACTTTCAGAGCAATCGTTCTTTCACCTTCAGCTTTTCAAACAGGTCGCTCCCGACAGACCAATCAAAGCCTTCCTTCTTCCCCTGGCCTCGCACGGCTGGCCAATCAACGCACGCTATCTATCAGTCGGTTGGGTCGTGGGGTGCGACCTCTCTGCTAGATTCCCCCGCGGAATGAAAGGGCAGAGAGAAAAGGCCAGCGATGTTGACGCCGCAGAGCGCCATCTTGGTTAAGGGCAGGACGGGGCGCCCTTGCGGACTTTTCAGAGAAAAGACAGGAAAGCTGCAACGTTTCCGCGTATCCCGGAAGCCTCTCTTTGCTTAGCACTGAGGGGGTTTCCTATGGCACCGTCCCGGTCCCGTTGCCGGCGGATGTACCCGGGTAGGCCGGGCTCAAGTGGAGGAAGCCCAGGGCCGTGAGGTTCGCGGACGTGGCCGTGTACTTCTCCCCGGAGGAGTGGGGGTGTCTGCGGCCCGCGCAGAGGGCCCTGTACCGGGACTTGATGCGCGAGACCTACGGCCACCTGGGCGCGCTTGTGTTTGTGGGAAGGGGGCGTTGGTGTCCCCAGAGGCGAGTTGGCTGGCAGTGGGGCGCTGAGGAAGCAGCCACAGTCTCCCCTCCTGTGTTCTCAGCGGATCCCAATGTGTCTCCTCAGGATTTTCAGGGCCCAACGCCGCTTTTGCCTTTTGAGTGGAAGAAGAGTTGGAGGCTTGGAGCCCAGAGGGTGAGAGACCGGCAGCGGTCAGCAGAGGCAAGGGAAAGGTGACAGGGACTTCAGTTCAGAGCCCCGCCCCCCCAACTCTGACCCTCAGCACACACTGCGCCTTCCAAAGTCCCATCGTGTCTCCCTGCACCTTCGCTCCGAGAGGGTTCTTTCTCACCGCAAAATGGCCTGATAGAACAGGCAGATTGGGACTTACAGAACCATTTTTTTTGTTGTTGTTCTTTTTTTTTTTTCTTTTGAGACCGGCCGCACCGCGCTCAGCCAGTGAGCGCTGTGAGCGCTGTGAGCGCACTGGTCATCCCCATATAGGATCCGAACCCGCGGCGGGAGCGCAGCGGCGCTCCCAGCGCCACACTCTTCCGAGTACGCCACGGGCTCGGCCCTTACAGAACCATTTAATCATAGTGGAAAACCCTAGTTTAAGGCAAAATAGAGCTTGAGCTTTCTGGGAAGTCAAGGGAAAGAGGAAGCATATATATATATATATATTTGTCTTTTTCGTGACGAGTAAGGGGATTGCAACCCTTGGTGTGGTGTCGCCGGCACCGCGCTCAGCCAGTGAGCGCACGGGCCATCCCTATATGGGATCCGAATCCATGGCCTTGGTGTTATCAGCACCACACTCTCCCGAGTGAGCCACGGGCCGGCCCGGAAGCATATAATTTGATTTTTTGTGTGTAATAAAATGAAGACAAATGCTCCTCTTGGATATTAATTATGTGGATCACAGTGTAATAGCTAACGTCATTCATCAGATTTTAAAATGAAGATAAAGTGTTTTACCTGCAGCTGTTATGTCATAATATATATTTGTTCCCAGAAGGTCTTTCCATGGAACCTGGTGTGCAGTCCAAGTGTAGACTTTTTGGAGATGGCCTTGAATGGCGCCAAGGAAGGTCATTTATGGCTATTTTGCAAAGAGATCATAAGCAGGTTCAGGATTATAAGCTTCATGAGGGTTGGGCCCGTCACTGTCTGCAATGCTTGACACATAGTAGATGTTCAATACTGTTGACGTCTTGGTGTTCAGGGCCTTCCTGCGTTAACCTCCAGGCAATGGAATTGCTCTTATGGGCTAGCTTTCAGGGCTTCATAAGGCCCCAGTCGTTGAGCTGCTCCCAGGAACCCATACACTTAGCCATTCATGCTGCCTCTCAGGGCTGGACATGGTCTGGAAAATGCTGCTAAGATTCAGGTTGCATCTTTTTCCCTGTCTCGAGATCCAGGGATGGGAATGAGGAGAAAGAAGGACCGGAGAAGAGTCCAAAACAGAAAGAGATGGAACATGAGCAAGTGTCTCTCAAGCAGAGCTCCATCAAGCCTTGGCTCAAGGACACTGCAACCCGCAGATCACCCTACTCTTGCCCAGACTGTGGCCACAACTTGAGCTACCCATCCGTCCTGGCCAGCCACCAGCAGGTCCACTCCAGGAAGCAGCCCTTCCCCTGTGACCAGTGCCAGGCCTGTTTCCCCATTGCAAGTACCTACCCCAGCATCAGTTCATCTACACAGGTGAAAAGCCTTATCCCTGCCCTGACTGTGGACACTGCTTCCTCCACTGGGGTTCCCTTGCCATCCACAAGTGGGCTCACATGGGAGAGAAGCCCTACCCATGCCCAGACTGCAAGAGTCGTTTCACTTTCCCCTATTGGCTGGCCACCCACCAGCTCAAGCACGCAGGCGAGAACGCCCCACTTCCAGCCTACTCACCTCTGGGGTTCTGTAAGTCCCAATCTCAGGAACCCTGCGATGGGGTCCCGACTGCAGCCTCTGCTTTATCTGCTCTTCTTTCTTCCTCAGTCACCAGCACATTCACCCTGACAACCAGCCTTTCCCCTGCCTCGAGTGTGGGAAAGGTTTCAAGGGACAGTACGCCCTAGAAGCCCATTGGTGGGTCCATGGCTCTGGCACCAAGAGACTGAGATGGCAGCAGGCTGCAGCAGGGCTTTCAGAGCCAATCAGTGTTTTAGGAGGCCAGGATTCCCCAGTTGATTTCTGGTACTTTCCAGATTTATTTGTTGATGGAGTTCACACAAGCTGATCTGTTTTCTTTGGAAAGCAAGAGGCAAAGTTTATACATTTAGGGGCCGGCCCGTGGCTCACTTGGGAGAGTGTGATGCTGATGACACCAAGGCCATGGGTTCAGATCCCTACATAGGGATGGCCAGTTAGCACACTTGGGAGAACATGGTACTGACAACACCAAGTCAAGGGTTAACACCCCCTTACCGGTCATCTTTAAAAAAAAAATAAAATAACTTTATACATTTGGTGGATAAGGAGAGGAAGTAGGCATTTAAGGAAAACCAAGTTCTGTATTAGGAAACAAGCAGAGATAAGGGAGCACAGGGATGGTCTGGGAAAAAGGAGGCAGGAATCTGAAAAGCTGCCTGAGGGCTGAACCCATTTTCTGAGGCTTCTGCTCACAGAGCCCCTTATTCCAAGTACCACGTGAGGTTATTTCACTGCCAACCATTCACCTAACTGGCTTTTCTTTCTGGATTGTTCTCTCCCTTAGAGTGCTCTGCTTTCTGTCCTGTAGCTCTCCTGCTCCTCATGGATGGGGTCCCCTAGATGTGAGAGCCTATTAAAGGAGCCAGCACCCACTTTGGATCCCTCAGAATAGAGGGCACATCTTGGGCCTGTATCCACAGGGGAAGCTCATCCAAGTCTTTTGTCTTTTAGCCAATGCAGGTGAAACATCTGGCAAGGAGACACATTTGGTATCTCCTTGGTTTGGTCTTGAAGACATAGAGGTGGCCATAGAGAGGACAGTGGCCTCAAGTGGGGTCTTTCCTACCCCATGCTCACTATGCACACAGTGCACTGAAGTATCAAACTAGTGAACTTTAAGATTGGGCCATCTCTTCACTGTATGAATTAGTGATTGTGATGTTTTTTTCTTCCTCAGATATTTGCATTTTCCCTGGATTTTGCATCTTTTGAATAATGATATGTTCTTGGGCCACAGCATATATAATGCTGGGGACTTTGTTTTTAAGAAAATATAATGCAGGGCTGGCCCGTGGCTCACTCGGGAGAGTGCAGTGCTGATAACACCAAGGCCACGGGTTCGGATCCCTATATAGGGATGGCCGGTTAGCTAACAGGCTGAGTGTGGTGCTGACAACACCAAGCCAAGGGTTGAGATCCCCTTACCGGTCAAATTAAAAAAAAAAAAAAAAAAAAAAGAATGACTGCAGAACCACTCCAGGTTAAAGGAGATGGAAGAGACAAGACAACTAAAGGCACGGTGGGATTTTGGACTAGATCATGGTGGGGAGGAGGGAGGCTACTATAAAGGACATTGCTGGGACAATTGATGAAATCTGAGTATGGACTCTGATACAGATGGACTCTCCATCTGTATCAATATTAAAATTCCTGAAAAATAAAATAAAATAAAATAAATCTGTGTGTCAGTTTCCCCATCTGTTAAATGGACCAAGTTTTGTCTTACCAGCAGGGCATAGTGCTCTGGAGTGAAGTAGACCCAGGTTGGAAAACTGGCTTCCTGACTTTCCACTCTTGTGACTTACCACACTTCTCTGAGCTATAGTATCTTCATCTGCAAAATGGGTCTAATAATAGCCCAGCCCTCATGGGATCGTCACAAAGACAACATAAGAAAGTGTAGATTACTTGTGATTAGAGTCGAAATCAAGGCATAGTCTCCCATCTCTTTTTTTTTTTTTTTCTTTTTTAAAGATGACCGGTAAGGGGATCTTAATACTTGACTTGGTGTTGTTAGCACCATACTCTCCCGAGTGAGCCACGGCTGGCCCATCCCATCTCATTTTTACTGTAATGCCTATACAGTATATGTCAATAGTTAGGAGAGGTCTTTCTGACCCATTCAGATCTGCTATCCCTACTTTTGAACAAGAAACTGTTCAAGGAATAGACAAAGGGGAAGACGGGACTAAGCATGTCTGCATGCCAGGACTGATGCTGCCTGACTCAAGAATCTCTTTGAACAAAAGACTGTTTCTCTGAAACCCTTGGTTGCAAAGATGATTATTCATGAGAACTGAGTGTTATTTTTACTTCTCCTGAATTGGTAGACCTGGATTCCAGGCTCAGTCCCCACTAGCTGTGTGGCCTTAAGCATATGATCCAACATTTCTGAGCCTTAGTTGAAAGTGAGTAATGGCAACTTCACAATGTTTGAGATAAAATGTGACATGTATAAAGGCATCTAGCATGTTTTTACAGTTTGAAATAGCTGAACTTCCCCTGCCTCCACCATTTTATTATACAAATTTTCAAACATTCAAAAGAGTGGAAATATAACACCAAGGTCAAAAGTTTGGATCCCCATACCAGTCAGCTGCCAAAAAAAAAGAATGGGAAGAATTTTACAGTAAACACTCATGTGCCCATCACCTAGATTCTACAATTAGCATTTTGTTAATTTTGTTAATGTAGGTGCCCATCACCTAGATTCTACAAGTAGCATTTATTTGTTTTACACATGTCAATCATCTGTCCATCCCTGCTATGGTCTGAATGTTTGTCCCCTCCTAAACTCATGTGGAACTTAATCCCCAATATGGTATTTGAAAGGTGGGGCCTTTAAAAGGTGATTGGATTGTGGGTACTGTACTTTCATGAATGGGTTAATCCATCATGGAGTAATGGGTTAATGGTTTAATGGTTTATCAGGGAGTAGACTTAGGACTTTACAAGGAGAGGAAGAAAGCATGTAAAGAGTGCTCTTGCTCAGCCCTTTTGCTACGTGATGACCTGTATCAACATGAGACTGTAGAGTTCCCACCAAGAAGAAGGCCCTCACCAGATGTGCCTCCTGGACCATGAATTTCCCAGCCTCCAAAACTGTAAGAAATAAACCTCTTTTCTTGATAAATTACCCAGTTTCAGGTATTCTGTTATCAGCAAACAGAAAGTGGACTAATACAATCCCTCTATCCATTCATTTAACCATCTTTTTTTTTTTTTTTTTGCAGCTGGCTGATACCATGATTGAACCCTGGACCTTGGTGTTAATCAGCAGCAAGTCTAACCAATTGAACTAACTGGCCAGTCTGACCATCTTATTTTCTTTAAATTATTTCATGGTAAGTTGCAAACATCTTTATACCTCACGCCTAAACATTTCAGCATAAGGCTGAGCTTTATGCAAGAAACTTTAGTTCTCACTTAAAGTTCAGATGTCCCCTGTTATTAACAAGTAAAATTTAGGGCTGAGCCCGTGGCGCACTCGGGAGAGTGCGGTGCTGGGAGCGCAGCAGCACTCAATGCCGTGGGTTCGGATCCTATATAGGGATGACCGGTTTGCTCACAGTGCTCACTGGCTGAGCGCAGTGCGGCGGGTCTCAAAAAAGGACAAAAAAAAAAAACAAGTAAAATTTATTTATGAACCACGATTATCTCTTGTATGTTTTATGACTTCTAGTAATTATCTGATCAGGAGTCTTGAACAAACATTTACAGTTTGATGGGCAATAAAACAATTTTAAAGCAAGAGCATCTTTGTATTTTTATAATGAATGACAGGAAAACAACATGACATCAATCACTTAGGATGGAACAGTTTTTTTAGTCTTACTTGAAAGTTTGTTTCTTTTTGTTGTTGTTGATTTTTTTGTTTGTTTTTTGTGGGGTGGCTGGCTGGTAAGGGGCTCTGAACTCTTGACCTTGGTGAGAAAGTTCATGATTTTGCTCCATCTACATAGGTCTTTTCCATCCGTTGTTGTTGATTTTTTTGTTTGTTTTTTGTGGGGTGGCTGGCTGGTAAGGGGCTCTAAACTCTTGACCTTGGTGAGAAAGTTCATGATTTTGCTCCATCTACATAGGTCTTTTCCATCCTTAGTGCAAAGACAAGAAATTTACTTCATAGTACCTGAAGAAACAAAAGTATTTTTCAGTCCAGGTGAAATGCTTCATAGTACCTCATTAGTTCAAGTTGATTCTCTGTTTAAAAGGAGACATTTCTAAGGGTATATTTTTCCTTACCCCATTACACTATTCACAACAATGAATGCAGTGAGGCACCTCCAGAACTCAAAGTTTATAAAATAAGCCTATAATTGTTAAGAGGCAAGATCAACAGAAGTCACTAAAAGCCTGAAAGTTGTCCGGGTGAAAAACAGCAAAGGTAGGCCAGAAAATATAAAGAAACCTTGACTGAAAAGGCACTAGCATTATCGGCAATGAAGAACATTATTGAACAGAAAGGGGAGGCAGGAGAGCTATGCAAGGAATGGTTCCAGGACCAGACTGGGCTCCTGACAGCAGGGACCTGGTAGGTCTCATTTGTCATCTCCAGTGACCAGCACCATGCTCAGCAAACAGTGCTCTAGAATCCAGCTTACTGTAGGAATATTCTAAATGTGGGGATGAAGACATCTAGACTTATAGTCTGTTGGAAAATAGAATAATTTAATCAGGCCCTCTGGCCTGCCTGTCCGGTTGGGGGTGCTGTGGCGCATTCTTTATAAATAAGTTGTGTGTGGGTAGAGTTAGTGCGCATGCGCAGCGCCACAACCTGGCTGGCGTCTGCCTTGGGCATCCCCTGTGCGTGGCCATACTCTCCAACCTACAGCTTCCAAGGAACCTTTTGCTGGTTATCTAACTCATAGACCTGCGTGTGAGGGGTCTGGTGACCCAGCCTGGCGTGTGAAGGGTTTGTGACCCAGTCTGGACAACGGGCTTGAGGGTTCTGTGAACTCCAGACTCAGCCCTAGCTCGATAATTGGCCCAGTCGGTGCAGGATTACGGGCAGATAAAAGAGCTCGACATAGTCTAATGCCACCAACCGCTAAGATGACCCATTGTGACTACAAAATAAACAGGAAGACATTGAATCCAGGAAGCAGAGGATACAACCCAGGGGAGCAGGAAGGTAAGACCCTGGATGAGAGCTGAGTCCCAGTCCATTTGGGAGAGAGGACTGAATGCTCAAGGAGGATGTTTCCCGTGAAAAAAATGGGACTTGAGATCTGATGCTATCCTTGGTCATCTGGAACAATTTACAGAAGCAGAGAGGATAATGTAAAGAGAAAATAAAGATAATTAGAAACTTCAACCAAACAGTTGAACAAGAATGGAAATATAAACATAGCACATATGGGAAATATTTACTATAATTTATTGTATTAAGTATGTTGGGAATAAAGGTGAGGGGAATGGGGGAACTAAAGCATTAAATATTGAAATATTTTCTCCTTGACCAAATCTGAGCCCTTTCTCAACTAGGCCTCCACCTTGGCCTATAAAGGCTTGCACAAAACATTAACATAGTTTTGGGCCGGCCCGTGGCTCACTCGGGAGAGTGCGGTGCTGATAACACCAAGGCCACGGGTTCGGATCCCACATAGGGATGGCCGGTTCGCTCACTGGCTGAGCGTGGTGCTGACAACACCAAGTCAAAACGTAACATTATTATTAACATCATCCAGCCATCAGAAGGGATGAAGTACAGTATTGATAAAAGTTACAGCATGGACAAACCTTGAGAACAGTATGTTAAGTGACAGGAGCCAGTCGCAAAAGTCTACATATTATATGATCCAGTTGATATAAAATACCCAGAAAAAACAAGACCATAGAGACAGAAAGCAGATTAGTAATTGCCAGGGGCGGGGGGAGAGGAGAACGGGAAGTGCCTGCTTATGGGTGGGGGGGGTCTCCTTGTGGGGTGATGACAATAGCTGGTGGTGATGGCTGCACGTTGTGAATATAGTAAATGCCGCTGAATGGTACGGTTTAAAATGGCTAGTCTATCTTATGTGTATTTTACCACAATAAAAAATATTGACCGGAAAGGGTGCACAAGGAAACATTGAGAGGTGACATCAATGTCCTATATCTTGTTTTGGGTGATGGTTACACGGTTGTATACATTTGCCAAAACTCGGCGAACTTTACATTGAAGATCTGTGCATTTTAGTGAATGTGCGATATAACTCAAATTAATAAAAATTGTTAAGTACCGGCCAGCCGCCAAAATAAATAAATAAATAATAAAAAGAGTTAAAAGTAATTGCCTCTGAGGAGCGGAGCTGCGGACACAAGGGGTCCGAACTGTCAACATGCACCCGGGTTCCACCTCGGCTGTATCCGGCGTTTGCCAGGGTGTGTGCATCTTCCCGCAGGGGCTGGGGACCAGATGCCAGGTCCCGCTGTCGGGAGGCCTGCTGGGAGACCGTCGGGGACACAATCCCGGGCTCCATAGACGCCGAGGTCCCCGTTGCTTTCCAGTCTTGTCAACAAAGGCTTTAGGGCCGCGGGTCCTTTCAAAGGCCCCGCCAGGCCGGGACCAATCACGGTGCAGTTTCTTCCCGCGGCCCCGGCCAATCACCAGCCGCCGTGTACAGCGCGCGAGAAGAGGCCCGCGAAGCTGCGGGCTCGTCCATCTTTCTTGATGGCAAGAAGGCTTCCCTATCCCCGCCTTCCCAGCAGGTCTCCTACTCAAAAGCCGCTGAGGCGACCATTGTATTTAAGGGCAAGTGGGATGATGAGGCCTCAGACGCCAGAGAGGCGCCATATTTGATATTCTCAAAGACTGACGCCCTCAAGAGCAGCCAGTGACAATTGAAGCCAGGTTGTCGCCATATTTTCTGAAGGCACCTTCCGGGTCCCTTAACTCGGGTGTCTGTGTACAAACGGCCACGAAGTGAATAAACACCAAGGAGTTTTATTTGTCCCCACCAGAATCCCTAGCAGCCAGTCCCTGCTGCTTGGTGTACTCGGCTGCGTTTGGACGCCAAGGCTGGGCGGGGCCCAGGCCTGGGCAGTCCTTCCTGCGGACGACAAAAGCCGAGACCCGGAGCGGGGAGGCGGTGGCCCCGGGCACAAGGCGGCCGCTGCTCGGGCTGGGAGGCCCCATGTCGCCGCCCCCGGCCCCGCTCCTGGCGCTGAGACCCGGGGAGACCCGGCCTGGTTGCAGGAAGCCCGGGGCCGTGAGGTTCGCGGACGTGGCCGTGTACTTCTCCCCGGAGGAGTGGGGGTGTCTGCGGCCCGCGCAGAGGGCCCTGTACCGGGACGTGATGCGCGAGACCTACGGCCACCTGGGCGCGCTCGGTGAGGCCCCTAGTCAGAGCCCCTCCTCCCTCACCGGGGTTCACAGGGGAGGTGATAGAGTGCAGAGGATTGCAAGCCCTACCCCCGCACTGTTCCACCAACAGCACCAGCCACTTCCCATTCCTGGGCTTCAGGTACCCCCTGGGGAGTCTTTCGGTCCCGCAACCTCTTCATTCAGGCAGGAGCATTTGCAGACCCTGTCCAGGTTGAGTATAATTTTGAGGAGGAGCCCTCACCCTGGCAGGGAGATGTCCTCTTCCCAGGATAGCCTCTTAGGCCAGCACCGTGACCCCTGTTCTCTCCCAGGATTCCCGGGCCCCAAACCAGCCCTCATCTCTTGGATGGAACAGGAGAGTGAGGCTTGGAGCCCCGCCGCCCAGGATCCTGAGGAGGGGGAAAGCCTGGGAGGAGCTCCGAGAGGTGAGGGATTGTCCCGGGTCTCTCCTGACTTTGTTCTCCAGGGCTTCCCGTCTAGCAAAGTTTTCTTTCAGGTCCCCAATTCAGGCATTCGTATAGAAAGTAAAGAGCTAACCTGTGTTGGACACTAGAGCGGGAAGGAAGGCAGACCTGGTACAAAGTTTTAAAAACGTGGGACAGTAGTCATGTTGTGACCAGAGTGGGACAATCAGGAGCCCAAGTCCAAGGTCTTAGGTTTCCAGGTCCCTCTAGTAGAAAACACCACTCTTTCTCCCTCTTTTAGGAACAACTAAAACCCCCAAAGAGCAGAAGTGGCTTCGGGTCTGCCTTTCATATCCTCAAGCAAGACAAACTGGTACAAGAGAAAATGCCCAGTAATTGACAGCTTGGTTTTTCCCTCCTCACCATCGCCCAGTGGAGTGATCTTGACCAAATGTGTCTCCTCATCTGTAAAACTCAAAAAATGGAAACACCACACTAATAATAGCTACCACTTACTAAGCATTTATTAAGTGCTAAATATACATCTACTTATCTAATCCTCCCCATAACTTGTAAAGTTAAACCATTCGCATTCCTGTTTGATACATGAGGAACCAAGGCCCAGATAAGTCACTCTTAAGAGATCTGAACCCTGTTTACCTTGCTTCAAAGCACTGGGCAGTACTTTTCTGGCACTACTATAAGTAAAAGCATCCTATAACCTGAGACAGTCTATGCGAAAGTGTTTATTTTATTATTATTATTTTTTTTTTAAAAAAGATGACCGGTAAGGGGATCTTAACTCTTGACTTGGTGTTGTCAGCACAACGCTCTCCCAAGTGAGCTAACTGGCCATCCCTATATAGAGATATGAACCCGTGGCCTTGGTGTTATCAGCACCACACTCTCCCGAGTGAGCCACGGGCCAGCCCCTCTAAAGTGTTTTTATTTTTATTTTATTGATTAGCCGATATAGGAATGGAACCCTGGATCTTGGTGTTACCAGTACCACGCTCTAAGGAACTGAGCTAACTGGTCAGCCCCCAAAGTGTTTTTAAATGTAACTTCATTCCTTTTTCCCAGGAGACACCCCAAACAAGATGGAAGAAGAACCCGAGGAAGAGCTAGGAACCAAGGGACCTGGAAAGATTCCTGGGAAGGAGCTGTGGGAGGAGCTGGTTACATACAACCCTGGCTCTACTATCAGCGTGGCCTCGGCAAGAGCACAGCCATCCACGAAAGCTTCCAGGGACCAAATGGCAGGCGCGCAGCCCCCTGTCGTGGTGCCCAGCGTGGACGCCCAGGCCAGCCAACGGCGCCACGTGTGTACAGACTGTGGCCGCCGCTTCACCTACCCCTCGCTGCTGGCCAGCCACCGGCGCATGCACTCGGGGGAGCGGCCCTTCCCCTGCCCTGAGTGTGGCATGCGCTTCAAGAGGAAGTTTGCTGTGGAGGCGCATCAGTGGATCCATCGCTCCTGCTCGGGCGGGCGGCGGGGCCGCAGGCCTGGGATCCGCGCTGTGCCTCGGGCCCCAGTCCGTGGTGATCGGGACCCACCTGTGCTCTTTCGGCACTACCCGGACATCTTTGAGGAGTGCGGATGAGTGGCTCCCACAGGCTGGAGTTGAGCCTGACCTCGACACTGAGGACTGACTGAGCCCTGAGCGAGGCTCCTGAGTCAGGGACTTGGGAACTAAAATCCATCCCTTGGGCTTCCCTCAAGGATCCCTCAAGTTTCCAAACTTGTAAAAAGAAAAGTGCCTGTAAAGATTCAGATAGATTAAACTTGACATCTCTCTTCCCAGTCTTTTGTTTAAAAAAAAAAAATGAAGAGAGTGAGATGCTGGACTTTTCTCTGTTATCTCAGCAGCAGGTGCAACTGAGATGTCTCCATCATCTCAGGAAACATCTGCACGCATTCCTTATCTACTTCAGAGGTAAATGCTGAAGGGGCTTAGGCCCGGGGAGGGGGCCCAGATGGAGGGCGTGGTCAAGCCCTGGCTAATTGTCACCAGCAGGGAGCCAGGGAAATGACATGGGTGGGAAGAGCAGACACCTGTGGTACAAATCTAGTCTCTGCAACTTGCCCCAGGCATGGCTGGTAAGTCACATGCCCTCCCTGAGCCTCAGTTCCCTTATCAGTAAAGTGAGGATTAATAATATCTACCTCAAGGGTTACTGTGAAGACTGAACTTTTTTTTTTTTTTTTTTTGAGGCTGGCCTGTATGGGGATCCAAACCCTTGACCTTAGTGTTATAACACCTGCGCTCTAACCAACTGAGCTAACCGGCCAGCCCAGGGACTGAAATTTTAACATGCTGATATGTATGACACAGTAAATGTGCAATAAACATTCATTGAAAGCGTGGATTATTGTCGACATTTTACACTTTAGAAAGTGTAAAGAAGCCTGCTAAGGAGGCAGGGTATGGATATCAATAGCCATGTTTTGCAGATAGGGAAACTGAGGCTCAGAGACATGAAGTGATGCTCTCAAAGTGACTGCTATCAACAGCAAGGCTAGAAACTGACACAGAGCCCAGATATTTCTACCACTTCCTCTAAGAAGTCAGATCTGGGCAGAAAACATGGGGGAAGAAGGGGGCTCTGGATGCAGGACACAGCCCAGTCTGGATGGGGACATGTGAGCAGGACACAGAGTCCCAGCAGGGCTGGTGCCCATTTTCAGTGAGAAAGTGCTGTCCCCATCAATGACTGTGTGTTGAGTGCCTTCTGTTGATGGGATTGTGCCAGATGAGAAGATAATTCCAAGATGAGGAAAGCTGACTCCGTTCATTCAGCAAACACCATCTGAGGCCTCTGTGTGTTTTTGTGCTGGGTTCTGGGGACGTAGCTGACTCAGGACCCACAATCCACGTGGGAAGAGAGTGATCGGGGCTGTGACAGAGGAAGCCCAGAGGCATCACCTAACCCTGCCTGGTTGGCTATGTGCCAGGAGATGCTTATTGAAAGGGAGATGGCTGTGCTTCCCATAGCATTAAGTAAAATCGGTGTTGGGGGAGAGTTGCAGGGAGAGGGAGCAGCCAGGAGGCTTGTTTCATAGAAAGAAGAAAACATGGACACTTTGTGGAATAGAGGTTAAGAGAATGGGCTCTGGATCAGACTGTCCAGGTTCAGATCCCACTCACTTGCTTTATGCTGTGCAATATTGGGCAAATCACTTCCTGCTCAAGTCACCTCTCTGTGCCTCAGTTTACTCATCTATAAAACCTGGATGATAACAGCACCTATCTCATGAGAATGGTGTAAAGATTAAATGAGATAACAGAACGGTGCCTTGCACATTACTGTTTAATAAACATTGGTTATTTTGTTATTATTCTAACACAATACAAAATTGTATATGAGAGGACCTAGAGGAGATCTGGGCAGGTCTTCTGAATCAAGGAAGACTTCCCAGAGAAGGTGGCTCAAACTGGCCTTGAAGAACGAGAAAGATTTCAATAGACCTAGGTAGGCATGTATGGAGAATAGTCAGGAGTTTCTCTTGACTGAAACATAAAAAGACAGATAGGGAATAATAGGGGCCAGTTGCAACTGAGAGGTGGGCTGAAATCTGGGAGGACCACAGATCCCAGCAAAGGAGATTGAGGTTTATCCTATAGGCACTGAGGAGCCATGGAAAGTTCTTGAGCAAGAGCAGGACTGTTTGACAGGTGCTGTCAGAAGATGTTTTTGCAAAGCAGTGTGGGATGTGACTTGTAGGAAGAGATTAGACACTAGAGATCTGTTGTGCACCTATTCCTAGGTGGAGGTCATCAGGAACTGGGACCAAAGGTAGTGAACTTGGAATTGGGAAGAAAGATACTCACTAGAGGCTTCTGCCATAGAATCTACCTGGCTCAGTGACTGACTATGAGCTGTGAGCAAGTAAGACCCAGAGGTTTCAAGCATGGAGAGCTGGAGAAAAGGAGCACCCGTGCTGGGCAAGGGGTAATCAGGAGCAGGAGGGTGTATAGGCCAAGAGGTGACCAGTTCTGGGGAGGGTTGAGTCCAAGGAGAAGGTGTAGCTGGAGAGAGGAGGAGCCACCAGGTAGGGAGAAGCAGAACGGGCATGGTGCGCCAAGCACAGAGCTGCCCGGTCAGCACCAGTGCTGGTGCCATGGCCCAGGGTGACCGCCGTCGCTCTCTCTTTTCTTCTCATTTATCCACTTAACAAATATCTACTGTGTTAGTCCACTTCTCTTGCTTATAACAAAATACCTGAAACTGGGGCCGGCCTGTGGCTCACTCGGGAGAGTGCGGTGCTGATAACACCAAGGCCATGGGTTCGGATCCCATAT